GCATGTACGTAGTTTTTTGTAGCAACATAGTGTACTTTTGAAGTATGTTTCAACCATCCAGCATCAATTTTGTGAATAACATCCTGGTCACTCAACATCTTTAGGTATGATCGATCCTACGGTAGCAAATTGTCACTCGAGTCATTGTGCGTCTTTCTAATGTCAACCACTCTTGTAGGGTTCTGCTTGTTGTTTCAGTCATTTGGCGAATAACACAGGTTATGTGTTTTCAGTACTTGTGCCACTAATTTCTAATCCTTTAGCCCATGCTTTGACAATGGATGAACATTTGGGGTGTAGATGGGCTGGGCTGTCTTTATTATTTCTGGTTTTCGTTCTGTAATTTAAGCGTCATTTCTGAATGTGGAAGGTACTTAAGACTTTGGGCTTAGCAAGTATAGCATCTTATGGCCTTGGTCGTTTGTCCCATGCTTTACCTTGTAATTAAGCTTGAGCATAGAAAGTGCGAAGTTAGTTTGTTTTCAACGGTTCACACTTTCATACGATAACCTTTGAGGCAGATCTGTATTACTATTCACATGATGTAAAATTTATGATCGCACTACAACGAATGTTGTAAATTATGATACATTTTTTTATCTCCACGCGACACATTTTAGTATCGTACAAGTAGATCATGACACATACGAAAACTGTGGGTAGAGCATGTGTGGTGAGCGTCTTTCTACACATACTAGTTTCAGGCCAGTGCGATGCACGGATTTGTTTAATATACAAAAATTGATGTAGCAAAAGAATACAAACAGTTCAAACAGTTTTAATATACAAAAATTGATGTAGCAAAAGAATACAAACAGTTCAAACAGTTTACGAAGCGTTCAAACAGTTTACGAAGCATCTTGTCAAACAGTTCAAACAGTTTACGAAGCGTTCAAACAGTTTACGAAGCATCTTGTTTGGAAAATTGAAAAGGTAGGGAGAGTTAGTTCAAATCTCAAGGAGAACTTTTTATTTTTTATTTTTTACTTTTTATTTCAAATTTAATATGGAGAACTTTTGTAGAAACTTGACAAGTGGCACTTGCAAGAAGATAGCAATTGATATGTTTGCCAAGTGTTGTTTAAAATGGTATGTGACATTTTTGCTAAGTGGCATTTTTGCCAAGTGGCCAATTGAAGGGTAACAACTTTTAGTAATAGTATATAGCTATGAGGCTGTGTCGCAAAACTTGTGTTACATACATGCGCCATAAAATTTGCTATACATACGTATGTCACAAAACTGGTAACACATATATGTGTTAAGAGTAGTGATATATAGTTGTGCCTAGGCCATAAATATATAAATAGTATCACTATTCAACAATATAAATTCCTAGAAGGTCACTCATCCTCAGATTACTTTCATCAAAGCACACTTAAATATGGAGTTGTTTAGTTTATGCATTATCATAATTGTTTAACCATCGTTATAATTAAAACCTAAGATTTATTCTTTAAGCCCATCAATAGATTCTCACACAATTCATGTTGGACTATTATTATTTTTCAATTATATTTAATTGTATATCTAATGACACAAACATGTGTCGCGATTTCCCATATTTTTTATTTATGTCACTATTATTTAATCCTTTACGAGTAACAATTTTATACGTGTCATAAGATAAGTGTACATAAATAAAAAATGTACAACGTGCTGTCAGCATGATCAGCAACAACAACACAGTAGCCGAAGTGTTCTCACGTATCGACCACAAGTTCGACCTTATGTACTCAGGTATCGACCACAAGTTCGACCTCATGTACGCAAAGCGCGCCTTTGTGCATTGGTACGTGAGTGAAGGTATGGAAGAAAGTTCTCAGAGGCTAGAGAACATCTGGCTGCCCTCGAGAAGGACTATGAAGAAGTTAGAACAGAGGGTGCCGATGATGATGGTGAAGAGGGAGAAGATTACTAGATTGTTGGGAGATTTTTGAGTTTGGGATTTGCTTGTGGTCTCATTTTATTTTCCTCCTTTATGTTGTTGATGTTCATTTTGTTATAGTTCCTTGTTAATTTTGTAATGTTCTCCGAATGTTCTGATTGAAAGATACTGGGTTTGTGCTTCTCTATGATTATGATACATTTACGATCATGGACTGTGGATAAAACTGAAAGAGTTTACATCCTAATAATACATGGGGTACAAGATTCATTAGGAAAAACATAAACACAACGGCAGACATCGATACAAATAGCTACAAACACAACATCGTGGATACAACGAATTTCAGGGACAGCACTCAAATAACCAAAGTAGGAGCCAATAGTACGCGTTACGCTTTTATTTTATCACCTCAGATTAGTGATGTTCCTCTCAACTTCCAACTTCATGATTCGTTCAGATACTGAATAAATTCATTCACATACTTCTCCTGCCGATCTTTATCAGTGAAAACATCTTTCAATTCTTCAGCTCTCCTCCTATATTTTCCTCCCTCCTCCTCGACCATCACCCCCGTCAGCGCCTTCGCCACCGCCTCTTTCGTGAACGATCCATCCTCCTCGTTTCGTTCGATCTCAACCGATATCCCTTTCTCTGTAATCGTCCGCGTGTTGATCCCGTTATCAACAGCTATAGGCAGCATAACGAGTGGCAGCCCGAAATGGAGGCTCTCGATCACCGAACCCCATCCAGAGTGCATCAGGAATCCTCCGACAGACTCATGACCCAATATCTTCACCTGCGGCACCCATCCCTTGACAACAATCCCGCAACTCTTGCACCTCTCTTCGAACCCTTTGGGCAGCAAGTCTTCGTCGTTCAGCGAACTAGCCGGCTTTCTCAACGCCCAAACGAATGGCACCTTCGACATCTCGAGTCCAAGGGCTAATTGGTGCAGCATCTCGGAGCTCAGCGCAAGTTCACTCCCGAGAGCGACGAACACTACGGACCTTGATCTCTGCTTGCTAAGCCAATCGAGGACGCTCGTTTCCGCCACCTCACACCACTTGTCATCCCGCAGCTCTAGTCGACGGCGGATAGGCCTACGGGAACTACGGGCTTGCCGCTAAAGCTTCGGAAGGCGAGCTCCGCCAATTCAAGGTTCGACTCACACGCTGCTCCGAACAGCTACCTTAGCCTTGCAGGCCCATCCAACACGAGCTTCTGAACCCGACTGGAGGTCGGAGATGCCGACGCGTTCGAAGTAAAGCTGTCCGCCGAAAAAGCTCCGCCCATCGTGTAAGCGGTAAGCGGAGGTTTCGAAGGAAAGGTGACTCAATGCGCCGGCACGGTCGACTCCTCCGGCGTCCTTCTCGACGTCTCCCGGGCAGAGCTCCGCCGCGGCCGCGTTAACGACGTAAAAGCCCGCCGAGAATACGACAATGAACCGCGCACGTTCCGGCCTGAATTTTATTACATATGCACTCCGCGCCGTAGCCGGGTACCCGTGCGCATTGGAAAGTCCTTAGACTATCCAGCGTCCCGCCTTGGGGAGGCCTGTTTCTGATGAATGGCGAACAGGTGGTTTGCGAGGGAGTCGAGGGCTTTCTTGAGGTACGTTCTTGGACTCCTCGATGCTCTGGTTAGCCGGACCTGTGTGCCTTTCCGGGCGCTCTCTATTATGTATCGCATTCAAGCCGTCTGGTCCGGAGCTGTGAATGAATGAAAGAGGGATGAAGTCGATGAGGTTCGAGGGTTGTTGTGATGAGGGGAGTCTTTGGATGTTTCTTGGAGTGGAGATGAAGGATATTTTGTGGCCTTTCCTGGCCAAGGCTTTGGAGAGCTCGAGGAATGGGAGCATGTGGCCGAAGGCTAGCCATGGGAATACTACTATGTGGAGGCTGCGGTTGTCGCCGGCCATTTTTTGTTTCCAGGCTAAATTAGTGATGAAGATGGTAGTGAACTAGTGATCGATCTCTGTATCTAGCGATTCAATCGGTCACGCGTTTTAATGTTGGACTTAGATGGTCTAAATTTTTTAGCCTAGTATATAATGGGTTTCATGAAGTGTTTATGGCTATTTAGATTTTAAGCATTACTCATCACTAAAGAGCTTTGCTACATGGACCCAAAATAGGATTTGGATCCTCTCCACTACAAAAAAGTAGTGGAGAGACCACTACTTTTAATCTCAAGCGTTGATTATTTAGTAGGCGGTTATGATACAATTTAAATCTAACACTTACCATACCCCCGTGTATTGCACTCATTCCTAATTTGCACTAAAAGAAAAAATCATAACCATCATCTAGATAATCAATGGCTGTGATTATGTAGTGGTCCCTCCACTATTTTTTTTGTAGTGGAGATGATCCGAATCCCCAAAATATGGGACCAATTGAGGATTAAAAGAAAATTTAAATTAAAAAAAAATAGAATCAAGACCTTTAAGAATAAATTGAATAAGGTCCTTCTCAAGAATAGTATTGTTGGTATTGGTCGATTGATTTGCACGTCGGTTGCTTTGGTCCACCTTATCTATGGTCCTTGTTGAATATCCTCGGGTTGTTGGCAAGCATACATCACCATTACTTGAGTTTGTGATGCGAAAATAATAATTGATATTTTTCAAAAGAGTATTTTCCTATAGATTCAAAGATACAATTTTGTAGGATCATATCTTTTGATTCACTCCATAGAATCTTTATTTTTATAAGTTTTTGGAATGCTTAGGAAGTGCTCTATACATAAAAATAATTTATGGTTTCAGATAACATTCGCGTTCAAAGATACTCGTCCTTAGGCTCAACTGCGCAAGGAATCTAGGTTACTTTTAGTTTTCTGGTTTTTATAGAAAGTCTTTTATGTAAGGATTTCTCTTAGCTTTAGGAAAATGATAGTTTGATGCTTTTTCATTGTTTTAAACACCATATAAGGGAATCAAGTTCATGTAGGGTTTTAAATTTGTTATTGTTTTTAAAAGTTTTCCATTACTAGGGTTTCTAGGGTTTGTGCTGTTTTACTCGTAGGAGAAGTAGTTATCTCTTTTGATTATGCTTCTACTACATCAATTGGTATTCAGAGACAAGTTGTTTCCTGCTATGACCACCAACAATAACAAAATTAATTCCCTCCCTCTAATCTTGCTCAGTGAGTTGATGCCCTAGATCGACATGTTGACGAAATTGTCACAGAAGATGAAGAAGTTGACTATTGCAATAAATAAAGGGAATTGGAATGAAACAAATGACAGGATGCATGCCCGAGATGTTGCCTGTCATCGACCTACTAGGGCTAGTGTTCGTGCTCATCGTTAAAACCAATATGATGAGAATTTACATCTGAAGGATTATCATACAAGATTTAAGGAAATTCCTTACTTATCGGGTAATCTTGATATTGAAAAATTTTTAGGTTGGTTGAACCATTTCGAGAAGTTTTTTGAGATCTAATCTATCTTAGATGGAAAACATGTTTCTTTGGTGGCTTGCAAGTTGCGGGGTGGTGCTAGGGCTGTGCAATCGGTCGGTCGGTTCAGTTTTTGGCCAAATTTGGCAAACCGAACCAAACTGCCTATCATTCAAAACCGAAACGAACCGATTCAAGTCAGTTTGGTTCGGTTCGGGTCGGTTTGTTCAGCTTTCACTTAGGTATAAATGTTATGTCTAAATTTAATTTCACCTCTAATCTGTTGACAAAGAAAGAAATCTCTTACACTTCAATTCATTGAAATTCATAAACTATTAAATGCTACTGAATATTAGATGTAAAAATCAAAATCTTATTTTTATCAAAGATTACATAAATTTTTTAGAGAAAACTTACATAAAGAATTAAAGTGATCTCAATTTAGACAAAGTAAATAAAAAATATGTAATAACTTGGATGTTGGGTATAGTTTCTATAAAATTATACGTCTGATCCAAAGAGAAGTCTGATCCAAAAATGTATCAATCGAGGAGAAAAATCAAGAAAAGGTTATAATCAACATTATGGTTTAAGTTTCTTACCATAAAAGTGGATTGGTCCAAAGTAGAAGAAGTGAATATGTAATAGAGATGGATAGAGAACTAGAGATAATGAAAAGCCCTAGAATTGGAGATGACACTATTGTTGGGGTATTTTATCACTATCAGGTCGCGTGAGAAAAAAATATATCAAGTTGCAGAGAAATAACTCTATATGAACTATAATATGTCGGGTTTTAAGCGGATGTAAATAATAATTATAATGGGTAATACAATTCGGTCGGTTTGATCAGTTTGGGTTGAAAAAACTTCAACCCGACCCGAGCCGAGCTCTAATAAAAACTGAGCCCGAACTATTAAATTTCGGCCGGTTCGGTCAGTTTGTTCGGTTTGAACCGAACTATGCTCACCCCTAGGTGGTGTTACGGTATGGTGAGATCAAATTCAAATCAATCGAAGTCTCTAACATAAATTACCATTTAGTACTTGGCATCGCATGAAGAGAGAGTTGCAATACATATTTTTGCTTGCAGATTACAACCTAATCTTATTTTCTCAATTTCAAAATTGTCGCAAGACAATTCTATTGCGAAAAGAGGTAAACCACTCAAAATAGCAATGAATTTTGCTCCTTTCGTTAGAGTTCCTACAGAAGATAATTTCTTTGAAGTTGAGATCATCCATGGTTCATTCAAAAAAACCATCAGGATAGCAATAACTACACAAATAGACAAGCAAATATCAACAGAAACAGAAAGGAGATAATCGGCAATGAATCAGTTCTCTTCATCAATTGGATGTTCAGAGATTGTCATTGACCACCAAGATTGCATTGATGCTTTTAAAATCACTAAAATGTCAAGAGTTGAAATACAACACTGTAAGCCATGTTGGACAAAAGTATCAAGCTCAAGATATTGTGAGATGGACTTGAAACTAAATACTATTGTCTTGGCTTTTACAAAGTTCATGGATGCAATTATTCTATCAATCGATGATGCACTATGATACTCTAAAAAAATCAAAGGATATAATAGAGGAACTTGACTCGAACATAAGTCCTTACATGAGAAATCCCGAAGAGCCAAATTCTTTATTTAGAAGCCATCTACAGAACCAAAAGTGTTCTGCACCTCTAAGCGATGGTTTTTGATCCGCACTTGCTCCTTTGCAGAGTGAACCAAGTGTAGAATTTGCAAAGCCGAAT